GTATGTATGTATGTAACACACACATATATATATATAATATATATATAATATATATATATATAATAGTTATATATATATACATATATATATATATATATATATATATATATCATTTTCTTTATTTGGGCAGGATTTTAGTCTGTATTCTCAATCTAACAAGCACAATACATTTTCAATCGCCTATCACTACCAATGAATCGTAAGTGTCGCAAGAACCGCTCGTCGACGCATGCATACGTCACGAATCTCCCTATCCCCCTCCTGATCCTCTACACATATGCGAACACACACAACAAATACCTACAACCACAAAACTATTAGTTGATACTCAATCGTCTCTTCACAGGATGCGTCTCGTTTGCAACTACACTCTCCCCTGCACTCGTCCATCTCGTTCTCTGGAGATGCCGTGAGCAATGACTTGCTCGCCGCCGGAGCCGTGCTGGAGGGGATGCAAGATCGTGGCTTACGCATGCAATCACCTACGGTTCTTCGCAAAGGCAAGCAGGCCGCTTCGCCCAACAGCGCTAACAATCCGGTATAACCGTGTGTGTGTGTATGTGTACTTTATAAGTCGGTTCCGAATGGATGTATGTGAATCGCGGCTCGAGGTTACTCGCACACCTCCACCTGTACAATCGCGTACAGGCAAAAAGGTGTTTCGCTAATCATATATTATTAGATAGACTGGGTTAATCCACAACCACGGGGGCATATCTCATTGACAAACACGCATGCACACTCTATAGGTACACGCATACTCACTGACAAGCACTTCTGCAGACTTTATACGAACTCGTAGATAATCATAGTCACAGTTTACAATGACACGGGCCTTCTCTGGTGATGCTGGAGTTGACAACGGACACGCGCACTACAAAAATAGACAAGCAGACACGTTTATGCGAGTGTCTGCGCAACCATACACCCAACCACACATTTACACCCATTCACACCGTTTGCCAAGGCACTATAAACATAAACACACATATGCATTCATACACAAGTATATGGCACGTCTTCACATCTTCACACATCCAGAAACACATTCTCACCCATGTTTGCACCACCCCACACAGTTTGCCATGGCCCACGCCTTCTCTGATGATTCTGGAGATGACACCTCTCGCGGGGGCAGCAGGAGTGCATCTCGGAGATCCAGTTTCGCGCGCTCGCCGGCAATGTCACGGCGTATGTCAACAGTTAGTTGGACTACTAACGAGGTACACGAAGTGGAGTCAGGCAGCGAATACGACAGGTAAGAATACGACAGATGAATATGAAGATACGACAGGTAGAGGACTGCATACCATGGGGCTTGTGCACTATACCCGTATGTCCATTCCATTGCCAATGGCATACGCTATCACTGTGTATGCAAATGACTATTCCATTGACAATAGCATCCGCTATCACTTTGAATGCCTATGTTCATTCTACCAACAAAGGTATATGGTATCACTTAGTGTGCATGAGTTCTATACATAAAATGGCACGCGCTATCACCGTGTATGCGTATGTTCACTCCATTGACAATAGTTTATGTTATCACTGTGTATACGTATGTCCACTCCATTGACAATAGCATACACTGTCTTTAATATCCTCTTTTCGCACGTGTACGGAAGTGTATGCTAATTCATGCATCTCTGATGCTGTTCGGGACTAACAGGTCGGCTGTAGACGACCATATGAGGAGTTCAAACATCCGAAGCATCATCTCAGAAGTAAAGAAGTATGTCAATTCTCTCATGATTGCTTTTTTTGTCCGAGTTAAATGACAGACTATATGTCTTGTTATTTCATTCGCCCTGTCTGGTACTGTGGAGTATGGCCCATCACACAAGCACCATCGGTCGTATACAATGTCGTATATCGTTTGGAGTGTCGTATTATTTGTCGTATACAATGTGGTATACTGTGTAGTGTGCCATACCGTTTGTCGTATCGTCTGCGGTTTTACATGTCAGGCCGCACTAAGTGCCATATATTATACCGGGCGTCGTAGCATACCCTGTATCGCAAACCCTGTCCAATGCCGTACTATGAGTAATATCCCGTGTTTATACCAAGATATCACCCATCGTAAACGACCACCACCCGGACTTTCGGCTATCGCGACAGATGCCATAAGAACCACTCCCTTCACCTCTGTAGTTGCGTATTTCGTTAAGAAAGTGATGGTGTGGTTCGTCGTCATAGTTTGTATCACAGTGTGTCTTGTTGTGTATTGTCAATGCGAGAGAACTCACTATACCTCGCACTTGTATCTACACGGGTGGTCGTCCCAGGGCATCACGAGCGCTGTACCGCACTTTCTGTGTGGTACCGCTCTGTCTGTGTATAAACTATCCATGCACGTCTTAGACCACAATATATGTCATGTCGCATTGGTTCATGTTCGTGCAATCCCACACCACGTGACCCGTCCATCGAGTGTCATGCCACGGCAGATTACTATATTTGATGCAACCCACTCTCAGGGCATCACTGTTGTCCTGCCCCGCTGGCACTGTGGTATTCCAATGGTATTCCGACGGCCACAGTTAAGCGTCGGATCAATTGACGGCGTTGTAATTCCATGTCATGTGCACCTGCGTAGGAGTCTGCGAGCTTTCTCGCACGAACTTGGGTGCACAGCATCGCATGTGTGCGTTGCTATAACCACTCATGCGCTCTGCAAACTAGAATGTGGTATTCAGAGGCTGCATTGAGAGTACAAGGCTAGTGCGTGGCCCAATGCTATTCTTAGCCAGTGACAAACGTCTCCTTTTCGTGAGACTCTTGAGAAACCCCAACAGAGTCATCAGACAAGTCTATACCTCGCCCGTATGGACTTGCGCATATGTCCGTTTATGTGCGTGTGTTGTTTGTCGCTGATGTGTGTGAGTGTGTATGCATATACATTGGGGTAAGCGTTCCTCTCCTGGGGCATTCCTAAAGGCACAGTTGGTCTCGCCACCGGTCTAGTGTCGTCTGGTGTGTATAGTCAATCTGGTTCGCGTGGTACGCACATGACTGAATACATGTCTGTTTGAATTTCTGCAGTCAATCTACTACCTGCCGCATACACTGCACCACATGCCTCGCCTCATGTTGTATTGAACACTTACACAGATTCGTAAACGAAGAGATGAAGGTGCACCCTAGCAGTCCTTCGGCCAGTGAGGGCAGTCTTATACCCGTGAAGAACCGTGCACGTGCGAATATTATTGCTGACATAGCGCAAACAGCTCCGCAAGTGCAGCCGCCAGCCCGAGCGAAAGCTCCTTCGCCCGCTGATTTCCCCAGTAACTATAGCATGATGATGTAAATAAACCAATAGTTGATATTTATTGACCATATATTCGATATACATCGGTACGGACACAATCGTTAATTGTTCGACAACGTTCAAGGCGCTTATATGAGATGGATGAATAGAAAGAATCTTCGTGTGTGAAATTTATACTGATTCAAGTTCGGTACGAGCTGAATTTCAATTCGAAAGGCTTTCAAGGCGATTTTTAGGGAATGTAGGAATCAAAATAGCCCCTGTATGTGCGATATACACAGTATGCATGTACATATCTACAGGTTTAAGGTTTGAGTAATGGTTCATGACCGTTGCTAATCAGATTCCGCGCACACTTTTAAACTATACCGGTTTTCGGGTGCAGGGAATGTGAAAAAAGCCCTTCTAAACTAATTTTCATATCGAGGCCATATATTTTTACTGCTTTGTTGTTTTGCAAATTCACTGAAGATTGTCTGATTAAAAAATTATCTCTATACACTGTTTTATTGTATTACAAATTCACGTGAACTATAAAGACTATTCGATGGTTATGTTTATTAAAAAAGCACTATCGGCTGTAAATCAAATCAGTAGAATGTTAAATGTTCGCCTCCTGACAAGAGTGGAAAAATTAAGTTAAGAGCTACTGCATACAAAAGTCAAGATCAAAGTTCCTGGATATCTGACCCTCAACTATGGTAGGCAGCAATCAACGGCCTGCAATCACGAGAGCAGCCTGTTGGTTACTTCTCACTATATTCGGAAAACATTCCAGCCTTCATCTTAGTCTCTGACCGATACTGTGTTTCATTAGATCTGCAAAGCTTTGAGCGTCTCCAGTAGCCAGGTTCTGCACCACACCTCTTCGCCTCACAACTTCAGCCGTCTCTGTCACTTGCCGTTCATTTATGTAGTTTGTGACTATGTTGGGATAATGAGCCACATGTGACATGAAAATTACCGAAGGGCAACTAACACTTAATCTCTGGTCGAGCATCCTCAGGTACTGATAAGTATCCTGAGATTCAGCGGATACCGCAATCACACCAATGTTTTGAAAACCACCTGCTATGCGAATTTGCAGCTCGTCCAGAATTGTGTTATTTCAGATAAAATCTAGTATAGCAACCGACTCATTTTCCTGGCACACCACCAGTAGCAGAATATGATCTTCTCCAATTGGCAACGAGTCAACAAAAGGTTCTCGCGTCTCATTGCCTCCATATTCCATCATTTGCGATCTGAACTCGTGGCTTGCAAAATCTGGATTCCGTGCGCCAATGCTTGCACAAACTTCGATCAGCGCTTCTTGTAGTGCAGCTTTGCCATCGAAGTTGAGCTGTGCGTCGAGTTTAATTCCGGTTGCCTCACACACTTTAGCCAAAATTTCACACATGAGCTGGTTGGCGTCTTCGGCTCTGTCGTTGTCCACAGTGGCTCCATCAGCGTCCAGCATATCGGCATCGTCGTCATCAGCACCAAAATCGTCATTATCGTCGGCAGCTTCAACATCATTGGTATGCAATAGCGTTTTTAACTCCCGTTCGAACTCCTCCTTCGATGTTTCGGGCACCGTCGGTGTTTCAGATTCAAACCTTGCCATAATCACTAGCAGCGGTTTGTATTTCGAAGTTATTTGTAACTATAATTGTTCGTGAAGTGTGAAATTCAAATTGTGAATCACATATGAATATGTACCTTATATTTATAGTAAAAGTCTCCGCAACTTCATTTAGTGCAAGGTGATGTTTTGTCCCGTGATTTTCTCTTTTTTATGTTGCGTCGCCGAGACGCTGACTCGCCGTTTTCCAATGGATTATATATATGTCATAGCCTAGTGTTTTTAAATTTTCAGAAGGCAATGCATTTTTTTAAATTAAATATATATATATATATATATATATATATAATATATACGTACTCATGCATGTAAAAAGAATCATATATTTATCTACATGGCCTCTGGTAAACGATAAAAATATATCTTCTTATCAAACTAAATAGTTTCCGACCTGTCGCTAAATATATTTCTTCGGACAGTATTTGCATCATGACGTCTAATAAATCTAGTTGAAGACTATTTACGACACATCATCTAAACAAAACGAGCTGTCTTATACCAGGCCAGATTTAACTGAAACCCCAAACTAAATATATTTCGGTGGCAAATAGGTTATTTGTTTTTTTAAAAACGGACTAAAATATATATATAAATCATCATAGCCTCCTGAAAATAGATCACACAATTTGTTTTAAAAAATAATAAAAAATGTGCACTGTCAAAGTTGCGCGCATAAGTTGGCCTGCCCGACTGCTCGAATTGGTAAATAAATATGTGACAGACTTCCGCCGGCCTGCGTTTAGAGTTTAGACGCTCTAGTCTACTCGCTAGCGTGTTAGCAAGACCAAAAGTGCCATTGTCATATTTACTGTGGTCTGAAGACTTTACTCCTGTCTGCACTCTGCCGAGGCTGACGTCGGTGCGTTAGCCTTGCAGCTAAAGAATAGCTCTCGCTATCGCGAGTGTCTCACTGGCTCTCTGCCGCTTTTTTGGCTTCAGCACTATTACCGGGTGTCCAAGCACTGTCAGGCTCAGCTGTCAGCGGGCATCCGTTGTGTTGGGGACTCGGCGCTGTTTTTTTTTAGAAGGCTATGCGCCTTTTTTTACAAGGCTATGCGCCATGGGCAGGAGTCAGGACTGCTATGTATTCTGTCCGGACGTCCAGATAAGCTCGAGTTGGTCAAATATCAAATATTCGACAGTGACAGACTTTTAGGCCGGCGTGCGTCACTGGTTAGACTCTCTACTTAGACGTGAAGTAGACAGGAATTTCTCTGTCCGGACGTCCAATATCTGTCCGGACGTCCAATATATTTTTCTGACAAGCTCGAGTTGGTCAAACAAAGAAATATTTAACAGTGGCAGACTTAGGCCAGCGCCGCGGCGCGCGTCAGACTCTCTTTACTTTGAGAGTATTTAGAGTGTTCGCAAGACCCCAGAACGTCAGGAGTGCCACTGTGCCAGTGGCCGACTCGACTGGTCGCAGAGACGCAGACCTTTTTTGGTAAAAAATGTGGTCCGGCGACATTGGTCCTGTCTGTACTCTGTCGTGTCTGCCCTGAGTACCCTCAGCCCCTCGCCCCTCGCTCTCTATTTTAATATTTAGCCTTGCAGCTGCAGGCTCGCACGGCGAGGCTTTTTTAAACCCCAAAATCGGGAGGAAACGCAGGACAAACCGTCATCGTCAAATAAATGTAATTGCGGGAGATTTTTACTATAAATAACGAGTACAGGTGATTCACAAATTCACAATTCACAAATTATTATAGTTGCGAGAAACTTCGAAATACAAATCGCTGCTAGTGATTATGGAGAAGTTTGAAGAGGAGTTAAAAACTTTAATTGGTTCCGGTGCTGTTGACGGGGATGTCGCTATGCTGGACGATGATGGAACCACTGTGGACAACGACAGAGCCATATACACCAAAAAGCTGTGTGAGATTCTGATTGAAGTGCGTGAGGCAACCGAAATTAAGCTCTCCGCTCAGCTCATTGACGAAAAGCAATATGACTTCAATGGCAAAGCTGCACTTCAAGAAGCGCCGATCGAAGTGTTTGCGAAAACTAGGGCAAGGAATTCATATTTTGCAAGCAACGAGTTCAGATCGCAGATGATGGAATATGGAGGCAACAAGACGTGGGAACCTTTTGTTGACTCATTGTCAATTGGAGAAGATCATATTCTGCTACTGGTGGTATGCCAGGAAGATGAGCCGGCGGCTATGCTAGATTTTTACTGGAATAACACAATTCTGGACGAGCTGCAAATTTGCGTAGCAGGTGGTTTTCAAAACATTGGTGTGATTGTGGTATCCGCTGAATCTCAGGATATTTATAAGTACCGAAGGATGCTCGACCAGAGATTAAGTGTCAGTTGCCCATCGGTAATTTTCATGTCACGGGTGGCTCATTATCCCAACATCGTCGCAAACTACATAAATGAACGACTAGTGACAGAGACAGCCGAAGTTGTGAGGCAGAGAGGTGCAGCGCAGAACCTGGCTACCGGAGAAACTCAGAGCTTTGCAGATCTAATGAATCGCAGTATCGATACCTTAGTCGCAAGTTCACCGCACTACCGTGGGAAAAGGAATGGAAACAAGGATAGGAACGAAGGCTTGCTCCCTAGTTGCTTGGTATACGAGCACAGATGCAATCATGCTCGAAGCCAACCAACAAGTACCCATACACACACAAAAGGGTATACCGAATTGTTTGCCCTGTTGACCTCATATTGCGATGCGTATATATCCATTCGAAATTAACTGTTAAGTACACATACATACACACAAGTTTATACAGGGTTGTTAGCGCTGTTGGGCGAAGCGGCCTATTTGCCTTTACAAAGAAGCTTAGGTGACAGATGCGCGAATGTACGCCACGATCTGGCATGCCCTCGATCACAGCTCCGGCGGCGTGCAGGTCATTGCTCATGGCATCTACAGAAAACGAAATGGACGAGTGCAGGGGAAAGTGTAGTTGCAAACGAGAGGCATCCTGAAGAAAGATGATAGAGTTTCAACAAATAGTATTGTGGTTGTAGGTATTTGTTGTGTGTGTTCACATACGTGTAAAGGATCAGGAGGGAGGGGGTTGTGGGGTTGTGACGAATGCATGCGTGAACGTGGGGCTCTTGAGATACTTAAGTTTCGCTGGCAGTGATACAGGATATAAAAGGTATTGTGATTGTTAGATTGTAAATACAGACTGAAATCTTGCCCAAATATAAAATATGATA